TGCCCCAGCTCCTGGTGCTTTGAAAAACAGCACGGACTCAGCGGGTGCTGCTGGGTGGACGGGCGATCCCCACTGCCCCCCATTGCCCCACACTGCATGGGGAGCTCTTCATGAGCCCCCTGACCCTTCCCCTCGGTCTTCCAGCCCCCCCCCCGCATGGTTGCTCCACCTGCCCCAGCTCCAGCCCTTTAAGAAAACAAACAAACAAGAAAAGCCCCAGGACTCACCACTCCTGCAGTGGCCTCAGGGCTTTGCGGGGCTCATGCAGAACCCCCACATGGTGCAGGACAAGGGGGGGCAGCGGGGATCGCCCCCCTGCCAGGCAGGAACTGGTGAGTCGGGAGTTTTGTTTTGTTTTTTTCTTAAAGGGCCAGAGCTGGGGCAGGCGTGCAACCATGGGGGCAGCTGGGACAGTGGGGGAGGCAGGAGGCTTGTGCAGAGCCTCCCATGCAGTGTGGGGCAGTGGGGATTGCCCCCCACCTGGCAGCACCCGCTGAGTCAGGGTTTTTTTTTCCCCAAGAGCTGGGAGCTGGGGCAAGCAGGGTAGCCATTGCCAGGCTGGGAGAGTGGGTGGGGGATGGGCCTGGGTGATCTGGAGATTCAGCAGCAGCTGAATCTCCAAATCAGATTTGGCTGAATCAATTCAGGACAGTGATTTGAATCACTAAATCCAATCACCCCCCGAACTGGCTGAATCCAAATCCAAAGCAAATACTAGCTGCTTCACACAGGCCTAGTAGATTGGTTTGTACTGTCACCCTTTGCTGGGACTAATGAGGTCTGGATTCAGTTGCCTGCTCTGTCATAGACTATTGTTACAATCGGGGGAGATTGACTTGATCTCTCTGCGTCTCAGTTCCCAAGGGAGTATTGCTTCCTTGCTCTGTCCACTTAGTTGGCAAGCTTTTCCAGGTAGGGACCATTTCTCACTGTGTCTCTGCCCAGTAGTGTTATTTGCGCTAAGATAGCATGAATACATGGCTTCCCTCTGTAGCATCACTGCTACTGTTACTTGTGCTAGGACAGCTTCCAGGGTACCGTGTTCTCAGGCGACGCAGGTCGCTAGAATAAGTAGTGCTAGCAAAGCACCATTTTAATTCACTTTCCTTAATTAAAATCCAGGAGATCAAGTGGAATAGTGATAAGACATCCCAGGATGTGCATTAACAAGCTATCGATGCACATCTTGTTTGTGCAACCTGAGGACACTTGGGTCTCTCTTTGTGAGCCTCAGACTGTTGCTCATGACATGCACCAATCCTTGCTGATGCACACCCTCTTGTGGCTTAGAGTAATAATGCCAAATATAATACCCGGCTCTTCTTTAATACAGTTGGCTGATCATAAAGAGTGTGACTGGACAGACAGACCAGCAATAATGTGAACACAATATTTGTTGTTTACCACCTCAGGCCCCTAGTGACTGCTAGGCACTGCATGAGCACATAGTCAGAAGATGGCCCTGTCCCAAACAGCTTAGTTTAAAAGCATGTGATATTGGTTCTTATTCTCCCTTTTCTGGTCCTGTCTATTTTGTGTCAATCTGGTAGAACAAGGGCCTTTTACGAAGACCCAAGAAAGTCATGCTCTGGGCTGAAGATGGTTGTCCTGTCCAAGTTGTTGGAATGAAAGAGGACACTGCGGGGGCTGGAATGCTCAGGCAGATTCTGGATCAAGTCAGTCTAGGACTAAATTGTAACTTGCTTCCTGGTAGAAGTAATTTTGCTGGTGGCACAGATTTAATAGATTTCATGAACTTTAGGGCTGGAAGGAACCTCATGAGATCATTGGGTCTAGCCTCCTGCCCAAGGGGCAGGAAGTCAGCTGGGGTCAAATTGCCCCAGCAAGATAAGCATCCAAGCATTTCTTAAAGGTATCCAGAGTAGTAGGTGTTTGCACCATTTCTAAGGGGAGTCTATTCTAGACTCTGGAGACTCGGATGGTAAAGAAGTTTTTCCTTATGTCCAGTCCAAAATGGTCTTCTAGCAGTTTGTGACCGTTAGACCTTGTCTTCCCTTGGGGTGCCCTGGTGAACAGATGTTCTCCCAGTTCCTGATGCACAACCCTTATATACTTATAGGCTTCCACCAAGTCACCCCTGAGCCATCGTTTCTCCAGGCTGAACAGTCCCATGCCTCTCAGCCTGTCCTCATAAGGCCTGTTCTCTTCACCTCTGATCATTAACGTGGCTCTCCTTTGGACTCTCTCAAGCTTCTCCACATACTTTCTAAAGTGTGGAGTCCAGAATTGGATGCAGTACCCCAGCTGCAGCCTCACCAAGGCCGAGTAAAGTGGGAGGATGATTTCTTGGGTCTTGGGTATAGAGCAAGACCAGTTAACTTCCCCCACTGCACTGGCTCAGTTTGCCCCAGCTCTGAGTGCCTATCCTTGTCCTATCCCTCTGCATCAGATGAAGATCAGCAGCCCAGTGTTGTGACCCATGATGCAGATAGCCCATTCCAGAGTGTAAAAGGTCAATTTATTTTTGTTTACTCACTGGCGTGTGTGCATGAGGAAGAAGATAACTAAGCCTTAAAGAAAGAAAACAGCAGAATGATGGGGAGGCAGGTGGAAAGGGGCAAAGTGGGTGTGGGCACTGACACATTGTATGATTTTCTGTGGAGTGCATACCTCCAGTGGCTCCTAGATCCACAGGGGAAATCAGTGAGTGAATTCAAGCTGTGTAGCAATAACCTTTGCTGCTATCTGACATTGACAGACATTCATTTTTGCTCTGAGAACCTAAAACTCATTTGAAATGTAACTGTTTTGTAGCTGCTGTCTATATATTTTTAATAGAATCATGGAAAGCAGGACCATCCCCAACTAGACCATTCCAGCCAGGGCTTTGTCAGTTTATATTATATTGATATAATACGATATCAACTGATAATGTTCTAGTGTGCTTTGTCTCTTTCATCCTTTCTTTGGCTTTCTCCCCCATTTTGCTCAGCTTTGTAAATTTTATCAGCTTCACTGGAGCTTCAGGTAATTCGTTAAAACTTTGTCCTTAGTTTTAACTTACCCTTGCCTCCCCTCTAGAGAATGGTCACTGCTTCCTTCTTCTCTCAAACTTTTACAATGGTTCTTCTGAGAAAAGGAAATCTGATCTCATTTCCTCATGAGCTGTAAACAATGTATGTAACATATCCTTCTCTTTTTCCCCCCACTTCTGTCAGGTTGAGGCTGTACCCCCGGATGCTCAGGGACGTGTCTGTAATGGACCTTTCAACCTGTGTCCTAGGGCAGAATGTCAGTATGCCCATATGTGTTGGAGCAACTGCTATGCAGTGCATGGCTCACCTTGATGGAGAAACAGCAACTGCCAGAGGTAAATTGCCCAACAGCCAAGGAACACTGATAGAAGACCAAATCAATGAAAGGGATACTATTGAGCCTGCTGTGCACAACCCTCCTGCTTAGCTTCTTGCTAGTAATTCTGCATTTCAGATGTTGCTGTCAGAATAATTGGTGTTTTATTTTGTTTGTTTGTTTGTTTTCCTTCACCTTAGAATGGTGATGAGAAATCCAATCTACAAAGGGAAATGATTCACCAGCCAAAAGAGAAGGCCAAAAGTAATACCTGTTTTATTATCTCCTTTTCAAATTGATTATGCATAATATACAAAGGGAAGCCGTGCGTGAGCATATTGGAATGTCACAGTTGGTTCCTGGGCAAAGGGGCCATGGCTTCCATCCTTTGAGCTGCATGGACTGTCCTGATCCTCATATGGTGTCATCAGCTTAGCTCCTTAATAGAATTACACCCACCTATATCAACTGAAGATTTGACCCTTTTAGGGTATGACATTGACCCAACATCAAGTGGAATGCATTCTGCCTCATGAGAACTTCTGTTGGGCCAAAAAGTGATGCAACAGGAACCCCAACCTTTCCTTCCCCCCCAGCCCCAAATGAATGTTGTTTATGGAATGTCTACATGCCATGTTAATTCTGGATTGTTGGTACCATTAGAACTACTTTTGGCTCTATTTATTTTATTCTTTTGTAGCAAAGTATGTTCTCAGTTTTCTATTCCTAGGTGAGAGTCATTGTCTGCTCTCAGTTCTATCAGTGTTTGGGCTGGGGGGCATTTCCCTTTACTCTTAAGATGTTCCAAATCTAACCCCTTTACTTGGGATAAATGCCCTTCCTACAGGCACAGAGGGAGGGAGGGACCTTGCATTAAAGCTGTGGCATGAAGAAAATCTTGATGAATTATTTCAATGGCTAATTGCCTTCTCTTAAAATTAGCATCTTGTTTTGTACTATGCATCTTCAGTTTCCAGCCATAAGATTCCAATATAGTTTCTTTTTTTCTTCTGATAGCTTTGAGTCTTCTTTATCAGACATCTTTCTCTCATGCAAGGACTTAAGGACCACGAGCAGTTTGTTTGTTAACCACCTCTTTGGTAAATTAAATACATAAAAACATCCAAAGATGCAGATTCTAAGAGCAGGTTAGACAAAGGTTTGTTTTCAGTGGTTTAAACAATGATGATCAGCTCTTGAGCAGGTAGTTTGACTAGATGACCTTCGTTGGCCTTGTCCAGCCCTATTCCTTTATGAGTCTGTGATTTTTAGTGCTGTTATTAAAGCATATTTTCTACCTCTGTAGGTGTTCTTGTTATCACTTACAGCTTAAACCATGTAAATGTGTCATAGCAAATCCTTTGCAGTTACTTGTTGTTCAAATATACCTTCAGTGTACTGGTATTCTTGGTCCATAATGTACTGTCAAGTTGTTTAAAGGGGAACTATGTAGTATATAAAATTGTAGCCTCTTGGATTATACAAATTCCCTGATAGTGTTTTTGTTCCTTGACTGGATGAGCATAACACTCAGCATCGGATGTCTGGTGTCCAACTGTGAATTCACTTGCCCCAAATATTCTGCCACAGTTGCTTATAAGTGTTTTTGAGATTTTTTTTAATGTTTAAGTCTTCTGCTAGTATGTTTGCAAAATGTGAATGCAGGTGACTGTATGAAAACAATTACTAAAACAATTCAATATAATGCAATAAAAATTCAAATAATAATAGGCTTTTATGTTAGACTGTCTATACTGCCAATCCTGAGTCTGTTTTTGTATATGTTAGGTAATCCATACTTTTACTTACAGAGTTTAAAGGGGCTTTGATTAACTGTACAAACTGCAATCTGTTCATGAAAGTTAACCCTTTGTGTATATATCAAGCAATCAAGCAAAATAGGACTCTATTAAGTTAGGTGTTGTACAAAGTGTGTTACTGGTAATCTTTTCGCCAAAGAAATTACAAATTCTATTCTATTTATTAGGCATCTAAATGGATTTGGGGACCTAAGTGCAATTCAATTCTGTTCCACCTTGTTGAAATCCTGAAATCCATAAATGCTTCTATCTTTGCAAGTGGGTGCATCTACACGTACATTTAATTTGAAGCAATACACTCTGGTGCATATCGTGCTGGAGTTTATTTCTTCCAGGTATTGTGTTTGAACATGTGCCCGGGACCACAGCATGTTGAGCCAGGTTGGAGCAGCCCCAGCTGGCAGGGTCCCTGGAGAGTCAGCCTGCCAGCCCGGGGCTGCTCTGACCTGGCTCAACATGCTGTGGAGGGGCTGGCTGGGGCACAAGGGTGCTTCAGTGCAGGGCTAGCTAGCAGGCAGCTCCTCCACTAAAGCACCGTTATACCCTACGCAGCCCTGTTAGTATCTACATGTGTGTTGCTGCACAGTAAATAACAGACTTTTCTGTGGAGCTAAGTAGGCCACACATGTAGACATGCCCACTATCATCTAACCCTTAAAACTGAGTCACAAAAAAGGAATATAATTGCTACGTGCATGAGTCCACTTACATACCAGATAGGTGGAATAGAATCTGCCTCCTGATATGTCCACCTGAATGACACCTTTGTAAGATACATATGTGTTGGACTTGAATAGGATCAGACTGTACATAAATATTTTCTAATGAAGACACAACAAATGAGTATTAGTGCAACTAATGGAGGGATGAGCAAGGTAATCTGGGTGCCAACTTTGATGTTGGGGGCGGGCAGGTGCAAACGTAGCAGCTGCCACTGCTACCAGCCTGGTTGTGGCAATGACCTGGCCACTGCTGCTGCCCCATGTTTTTTGGGTGCAGAACTGCACAGCTACACCTCTGCAAATAGGGCTATGAAACATGGGACAGCAAGGTAAAATAGCAATGTATAAGAAATGGGCTTTACATATCCCACATTAGAAGCAGAAAAAATACACTTGAGTGTTTTTTGTTCATGTGAAACTCATAGTTCCACTCTGTTCTTCCATGGGGAAAAGGATTAAGATCTACTTGAAAATCTTGCTTACAGTGTGTGTACATGCTGAAACTGGCACTCGGAGGGCATATCAACTCCAGCACAGAATTCCAGCAGCTTGATCAAGGTCAGCTCTTCTATTAGGACTAGGCTTCACAATCTTTAGTGTTCATTTAGAAGCAGCCTGAATGATAAACTCTGTAAGAGCCAGTTGCTTTGATAAAGAGACATATGTGTTTAAAGTATTATTTCTTAAAAAATGTGTAAGCTAACAAGAGCTCATGGTGGATGGTTATACAGATATGTTCCACATGATGGAGCTCTCATACCTTTAATAGGCAGTAATGATTCAAGAGCAGGGGTTCCAGCACTGTCAGTTGTGTTAGTGATGTCTGGTTCCCTGGCAACATTTCTAGGTATTTTTGGCCCTGGCTACAATGATAGGACATTGCTGAGGAAACTGAACCATAACACTGTTAAATGCAAACATGGTAATGTAATGCTAGGGCTGAGATTTGTAAATGTGCAAAATTCAGGACATTCCCACAGCTAAGATTCCCACATAGATCATGACCTGGCTGCATTTTAAAGCATAAATTTTAACTGCATTTAGAGTACAGCCCTGCAATATGCTAACTACAATAGCTGAGTTATGGCTGTGGTAGATAATTTAATTTTGGAATGTCTTGGTTTTGTGCCTTTAAGATCTTAAATTTAACATGTGATTTTTGCATTTAATTTTTTTCAGATTTAACATCAAAAAGGAAAAACAAGGGGGGTTGACATTTGTCAGTGTGTGGTCAAATATATATATATATATATATATATATATATATATATATATATTATATAGCTCTCCACATTCAAATAAAGATATGATTAGAATCTCAGCTGTAATATTGGGTTAATATTTATTACCAGAAATTTGGATCCAGACTTGAAACCTCTTAAAGTTGGAGTGGATATTTAGATCCAAGATCCCATTTGGCTGAAACGCAGTGATAAGAACTGGAGCGCCTTCTAATTTTGGGAGAATTGGGTTTTGAACAATTTTTAACATTTAATTAATTTTTCTCATGCTCCCTTTAAAAACCCATGTCATATTTTCACCGACAACAGGAATATACAGAACAGATTCTTAGTTGGTGTAAATCAGCATTGCTTTAACTGAGCTACAGTTATTTATATTTGCAGAGGATCTGGCTCATTATGTGATGCCTTTTGTAAAATACTTCATGATGTGTAAGCTCAAATTCCCTGGAAGATGCATAGGAAAAAAACCATAATGTGTGCCTCTCCTATTGTGAGAACATTCAAAATGTGTTCAGTGACGCTTCTTTCCAGCAAGAGAACAATCATCAGGAGGAGCAGCCGCATGAGGCTCTCTGCCAGAAGAGAGATTCTCTCTAGGGCCTTTGGTAAAACTGTTGTCTGCAGACCATGGGTGGCCTGGTTTTGAATCCCAGTGGAGGTAGTGGTCAGGTTGCATGCACAGAATCCAGCTTTGGAGGATAGCAGCTCTGCTAGTCAATAACACCACTCTGTGTTATCTGGCCATCATTCAGCAGACAAAACAATAGATCTCAGTGTTACGGGGACTGGACTTCAGAAGAGAGAATCTAAGCTGACATGGACTGTACCAACATTGCAGGTATTATGGCTATGAGAGAGAACAGGCTTTATCTACCTCTTCGTGTTTTAAAAATGCATTTATTTATAACATTTAATTTGCCCACTGAATTCCCTTATGTGGCATATCATCCAGAGATGGAAGATAAGAAAATAATTTAAACAAATGCCACTTCTTCTACTTTTTTCTTCCAGATTCTGTTACTGAGTGAAAAATTAATTCTGGATAGACAGGCATCCATGCTGTTCTAGTGCTTTTGGGAAAAAAGTGAATTTCTTCTTGCAACTTTATCCTACAGAGTAAACACCAACAGGTCATTAGTTTAGAATTTAATTGGCAATACTGTATGCCTACTGAATACTACGCAAGAATTATGAACCCAATTTTCAGTTGGTGGAAACTGATACAGCATAATT